CAATTGGCTAACTAATAATATATATGTATTATATATATATAAGTATATATATTATATTATATATATAAAATAATTAGTCGGGCATGGTGGCGATGCTGTAGTCCCGGGAGGTGAGGCAGAGGATGCTTGAACCCAGGAGTTAGAGGTTGCTGTGAGCTAGGCTGACGCCATGGCACTATAGCCCGGGCAACAGAAGTGAGACTCTGTCTCAAAAAAAAAAAAAAAAAAAGAATTACAATAGTGACAGCAGTTACCCCCATTTGCAGGGCCAGCTCTCTGGTGTGATCCTTGCTACTACCTTCTGAGGCTCATAATCCTATCCCCACGGTACAGATGAAGCAGCTAACTCCCGGAGGAAGCGAGCCACTTGCTCGAGACCACACGGATGGAAAGTGGGGCCAAGACTGAGCTCAGGGCTCTCTGCTTCCAGAGTGTGTGCATTAACCACGACACCACTGCATCCGCCAAGTGGCCCCGAGCCAGGCACTTCCTCGCTGCTCTTCAATCTTCCTACCATAAAATGAAGGAGTTGGACTCCAGGATCCCCGAAGCCTCTTCCAGCTTTAAAAGCACAATGATTCCAGCCAAGAAGCTAAGAGGAAATCGGCTCTGGGCAAGTCCAAGCCTTGATGCAATGTGCCCGGCAGGGCTGGCTGTGCCCCACGGGTGACCACAGCTCCTGCAACTCGGTGCCTGGGCCTGGTCAGGAGCTGGAAGGCAGAGGGCAGGAGAGCGACCCACACTGCGGCTCACGCCCCCGCGGGCTGGCCCGTGGCAGCTGCCAGGAGCGTGAACTGTCGCTCACTCGAAGTGCCCCAGGCCTCTGATTCCTGTGTCCCTACTTCCTCACCTCGGACTGAGATCCTTCCTTGCTTTTTCTTTCTTTTTGAGACAAGTCTCGCTTTTGCCAGGCTGAGTGAGTGCCGTGGCAGCCAGCTCACAGCAACTCAAACTCTGGGCTCAAGCAATCCTCCTGCTCAGCCTCCCCAGTAGTGGCACTACGGATGCACCACCATGCCGGCTATTTTTTCACATAATTAGTTGGCCAATTAGTTCTTTTATATTAGAGACGGGGTCTCCCTTGTCAGGCTGGTTCAACTCCTGACCTCGAGCATTCCGCCTGCCTCGGCCTCCCAGAGTGCTAGGATTACGGGCATGAGCACAGCACCCGGCCTCCTTTGGTTGATGACCTAGATATGTCCCTACTTTTCCACTGGCCCCAGAGGTCCCTGGGGGCTAGCAGTGGTGTCTTCTCCATAGTAAGCAATTAATGTCAGCCTTGTCCCTTTCTTTCACATTTCTCCCGGTGTGAAGAGTTCCTACTAGCCCGTGGGCTATTTACATTTAAATTAATTTAAATTAAAATTCAGGTCCTGGTTGTGCTATGACTTTCAAGTCGCTCAGGGCACGATGTGGCTCATGGCGAGTGCATTGGGCTGCACAGATAGACACCTTCTATCTTTCGAGCATGACACACGGTTTTAGGGTGCAGCGCCGGGGACTGGCTGGCTCTTGCCCGGCTCAGGTGCCCTCGAACAGACGGATCTTCCGACTGGGGCAGAGGATGAGAGAGGAGCGAAACTTTTGTTTCAAGGTCCGTCCCGGTACTAATCATAGAGGCAGAAGCTGGGAGAGACCTTGAAGTGAGCACCAACCTCTTTGCAATACCCCCACGTGGCGTCAAATGCTGAGGTCCATCCACAGAGAGAGGGAAATTCAGAAGCAAGTCAAGGTGAAGGTTCCTGCTGCCCCTCCTGTAGGTCGCAAAGACAGGACAACGGGCTCCTTACCTGGGCAGGAGCAGTGTCCGCTCTGGATGGTGATTTCGTGCCAGGGTGCACCCGCTGGTTGACTTTTCTCATCCACTATAGAAGGACAATAAGAAAACGTCAGCTATAAGAGAGGCTGTCAGCTCTCTGAAATGTCAGCTATAAGAGAGGTGTCCCTGAGTGGGACACCCTCTCCAAATTCACATCGGCGCTGAACGGCCCCTCCCTGATATAAGAAGGATTTGCATTCAACTTTAGGGAAAGATATCACAGGCTACAAGAGCCATGTGATATCAGAATAATTTCTAAAACAGATAATTTGTAAAAAAAAAAAATTGTCTTTGCTTTGAGACTATGGTTAACAGGCAAGCCAATGTAAGCGCTGGCAGACCTTGAGGTAGAGGATGGAAAGACGACCTCCCCTGGTGTAGAGGGGTGAGGATTTCAAAGCAGAGAGGGAGGAAAGGGGAAGAGACGCGGGTCCTCCTCCCCAGGCCGGGCCAGGGCGCTCTCTGCCTCTCTGCAGTATCAGCCCACCATCCCTGCAGGATCTGAGGCCAGACCAGACGACAGGGAGGCCCACGGGCCTGAGCACGCGGGGGCAGGGGAGCCTCGCCCGCCCGTGGGAACAGAGCCAGGACCAGCCTGGCTGGGGACGGAGAACCCCAGGCCAAGGCAGAGGGAAGTGCGTCCCGCTGGGTAGCTACGGACCACCCCCTTCCCAAACAGCAGTGTCTCCTGCTTCCCCGAGGCATACCTTCAGCCTCAGGGGAAAGTTAGGGCTCCCCTGGCCCAAGGAGGGGCCTAACCAATCCCTTAGAGGAAAGCACATACCCATCACCCCCAGAATCACAAACGCCCCTGTCCATGGGAGCCAGGGTACAGCCGCCTGAGTTCCTCATTGCACGCCCTGCTCACACCTTCCCTCCCCTCTGGCTCCGCGTCCTGCCTCTCACAGAGCCCCGGGGCTCTGTCTCCTTCCTCTGAACCTTTGCCCCGTGTGTCTAGACGGCTTTGTTGAGCCATCTCCTTCCCTGTCCAGCCCAGCCCAACACCCCACCCACCCCGCCCAGGGAAACCTCCCACGCACACGCACACGCACACGCACGCACACAGACACACGCTCCTGTCTGCATCTGCCGCTCTCTCGGAAGCCTTCGAACCTCCCGGCCGTCCACAGACCCGGCAATGCCCCCGGTGAGAACCAGACACTGTAACCATCTCCCCGGCCGAGGAGGCATGGGTGGCAAGGACCAAAGCAGCACCGACCGCAACATCAGGCAGGGAGCTCCATCTTACTCACTTGATGAAATACACGGCTCCTTCCTGAGTGGCATCCATCTCCCAGCCCTTGGGCAAACCTGCAAGGAGGCAAGATCATAAAATGAGACACCCTGCAATCAGCCTCTCCCCCAACTCGGCCCCACAGACCCCATCGGCTCTCAGGAGGGCTGGGGCCAGGGGAGCCAGGAAGGTCCACAGGTAAGCCAGCAGAGATCAAGCCAACCGTGCCACCCGTTTCCGTCCGTTACGTCTAGCGCCCAAATTCCCAGCAAACAAATGGGAGACACAGGAGTGGACAGGGTGTCCCCTGTCAATGGGCAGTGAAGTGACCAAACGAACCACCGCTGGAAGGATGCACTCATTCGTTCGACAAACCTTGACTGAGCACCTACTGTGCGCCAGGGCCTGTGCCACCCACCCCCCGTGCCGCCCCCGGATACGACAGTGGACCCAGAGACGGTTGCCCTGCAAGGTCCTCAGGATCATCCAGGTGCGGCAGGTCACCTGCCCCGGATTCACAAGACAACCGGCACCCGAGATCTGGCTAGGACGTATCTCCACTCCACAAGATCTAACAAGCACAGGAGGCCACACACTCAACCCACACAACCACAGAGACGATATCTTAATTTATATACAATCTGAAAAATAACATACGAATGCTCAGAGCGCCTCACACACTCCCAAGCAAAACAACGCGACATACCGCGCGACACAGTTGCGTCCGGCGCGAGCGGGCAGTCCCCACAGCTGACAGGAGCACCTTCTCCAAGAGCAACTCTGCTAGCGCCGCTGTCTCGTCGTTCCTGTTCCCTCTCCCAGAACACCACCTGCCAGCTCAAAAAACCAGGATTCCTGTCACCCCCTGCCAGAGGAGGGGCCTTTCTTGAGAGACCCGAGCAGGCATCCACTCCGGGTGGGCGGGGGCGGAAGCCGCAAGTGAGCTGTGCAGAGATCCCTCCCTGGCTGCACACAGCGCCACCCCGGGCTGACATGCTGGAAGACAGTGGGGATTCCTTGACAGCACATTCCCACGGCCTACCCGCTGGGTCCGACAACCTGCATGGCTGGGTGAGTCTTACAAACGTGGTTCACTGTCGGCCCGCCTCGCAGCTGCCTTCAGCACGAGCGTGCGCCGCAGCTGGGTTCTCAGGCTGGCGGGCTCCGTGCCCACCTCACAAAAAAACAACCCCCCCCCCCATTCTTACTCCCCGTCTATCTATCCAGGGTCTATTCCACAGCTGCTGCCGATGGTGACCTGGGCTCAGCAACAGGGCCAGCTAAGCGCCCGCTGCCCCAAGGCGCGCCCGGAGGCGGAAAAACAGCTGCCACTAGTGAGGCCTTCTTGAGCTCTCTAGCGCGTCCTAACCTGCAACGCAGCATTTACACAGTAGGGTCAGCCCCCAACGTTTTCACGGATGAGGAAAACCGAGCACAGAGATATATAACTTGTCAAGGCCACACAGGAGCGTCTGGGCCGGACGTGAGAGTTCTCGCTCGCCTCCAAGCCAACTCTTTCTCTTGCGCGTCCATGACTATACCCTCGTCTGCAGGGACACACGCTTGCCATCCGGAAGGGTAGCGGGGCTGGCAAGCCCGCCGCAGGAAGGGATCAACAAAGACGGAACATAAATCCTCCCCACTGTATGGCCGCGGAAGGGGCCAGTGTGGATTAGCTCCCTTGCCCTTTTTTTAGCTTCCTCCACGCTGCCCTATCTGACCAGGAGGGACACGCTAATAAACCACGCCGGGAAGTGCCCCGAGCCAGTTGCCCTCCCAGCCGCCGGGGCATCTTAACCCTTCGCTGGGACAGCCAGGTGGCTGCGGCAGAGTGAAGACCGGCTCGAGTTCACCTCCAGGCTCCCAGGTGATAACGGGTGAAACTCGAGCTGTAAACAGCTGAACGCCTGACTACGCACACGACCCACCCACGCCACACAGAGAAAGCCGGGCCGCTGAGTCAACCTCGCTTAAGTTAGAAATACCAACAGGGGCCCGTGCTCACGCCTGCTCCATCCTAGCACTCTGGGAGGCCGAGCGAGGGAGGCGCTCGCTCGGGCACGGAGTTCGACAAACCCAGCCTGAGCCAAGAGCAGACCGTCTCTACTATAAATAGAGAAAACACAAAATATATGATAATACCTATATACGTATAAACCTACTATATATATTAACTATATAATATAATTCACGACATCAAAACCGCGGCATGATACCGGAAGCTAGGCACCGGCGCTGCGGCTTTGCCCTCTCCTCCGCTCGTCGCGCCCCTGCTCTCGTGACCACCAGATACACACTACACCTCTTCTGCCTTCTTCAGCTATCCGGCTCCTCGTCACCCTCCGCCGGCTTCGCTCGGCGGCCCGCTCACGTCCGGGCCTCGCGCTCCGGTCACACGTGTGTTCACACCCCCCCGGACCTCGCTGGCCCCGGCAGCCAGCACCTCTGGGCATCATCTTTCTCTCAATCGCCAGGTTGGCTCCGTCCACCGTCTCCGCTTCCCACCTGAACCTCCACAACAAGCACAAGGGCAGCTCAGCTTCGCTCCCACTGTCCGCTGGTGTCCGTTGGTCCTGCTTGCGATCGGCTGAGCACACGCGCGCGCGCCCCTCGCGCGGTCCCCAAAAACCGGCTGGCCGGCCTGCCAGGCGGACTGTCGCCTCTCAAGTGCCCAGGCTCTGATTCTGTGTCCTACTTCATCACCATCGACTTCTTCTATGCTTTTTTCTTTCTTTTTTTGACAACAAGCTTAATGCCCAGCTAGATGAGTGCCGTAGGACACACAGCTCACAGCACCTCAAACCTCTGGGCTCAAGCAATCTACACACAGCCTCCCGAGTAGTCTGGCACTACAGGCATGCACAGCCGCAATTATGATATCATAAATTGCATTAGTTTCTATATAAACACACACACTCAGGCTGGTTCGAACTCCTGACCTCGAGCAATCCGCCTGCCTCGCCTCCAGAGTGCTAGGATTACGGCAGAAGCCACAGCACCGACGGCCTCCTTGAACACACAACTTTAACACAGAGGTCCCTGGGGGCTAGCAGTGGTGTCTTCTCCATAGTAAGCAATTAATGTCAGCCTTGTCCCCTTTCTTTCACATTTCTCCCCGGTGTGAAGGAGTTCCTACTAGCCCGGTGGGGCTATTTACATTTAAATTAATTAAAATTAAAAATTCAGGTCCTTGGTCGTGCTAATAACATTTCAGTCGCTCAGGGCCACGTGTGGCTCATGGCGAGTGCATTGGGCCGCACAGATAGACAACCTTCCTATCTTCCGAGCATGACACACGGTTTTAGGGTGCAGCACCGGGGACTGGCTGGCTCTTGCCCGGCTCAGGTGCCCTCAAGACAGACGGGATCTTCCGACTGGGCAGAGGGATGAGAGAGGAGCGAAATCTTTGTTCTCAAAGGTCCGTCCCAGGTACTAATCATAGAGGCAGAAGCTGGGAGAGACCTTGAAGTGAGCACCAACCCTCTTGCAATACCCCCCACGTGGCGGTCCAAATGCTGAGTCCATCCACAGAGAGAGGGAAAATTCAGAAGCAAAGTCAAGGTGAAGGGTTCCTGCTGCCCCTCCTGCTAGGTCGCAAAGACAGGGACAGACGGGCTCCTTACCTGGGCAGGAGCAGTGTCCGCTCTGGATGGGTGATTTCGTGCCAGGGTGCACCCAGCTGGTTGACTTTTCCTCATCACTATAGAAGGACCAATAAGAAAACGTCAGCTATAAGAGAGGCTGTCAGCTCTCTGAAAATGTCAGCTATAAGAGGGGTGTCCCTGAGTGGGACACCCTCCTCCAAATTCACATCGGCGCTGACGGCCCCCTCCCAGGCACCTGAGATGGCAACGTCTGTCCGCATGCCATTCCATCGTTCACATGCGCAAAGGATTTGCTGAGTCAACCCTGAGGGTCCAGGGATGAAGGGCGTCTGGTCCCTGACCTCAAAGAACCTACAACCCTCTTGGACACAGACGTAAGAAAAGGCAGTTGCAACTGATGCGATAGGAAGCATAACCCCTGTTGTACCTATCTACCTCGGTACAGAGAGCGTAGTGCTCGCAGAGAAGAGTGAGACGGGGAGGAGGAGGTTAAGAAGGAGAAGCACGAAGCCCTCGCTAAAGAGGCCTAAAGAGGCCGCACTTGAGGCGATCACTGAAGTCAGCTGGGAGGGACAGGACGGTCCTTAACTGGCAGCTTCTCTGGCGGATGAGAGGAGGAGGCTGAGTGAGCCCACAGTCCCCGGGTGTCTACAGTGCTACGTGGTACCCTGCACGACACTCCCTCACATTAGGAATTTCATAGGTTATGAATGTGAGGTTCAGAGAAAATTAAGTAATTTGCCCAAAGCCACCGCCACTAAGTGACCAAGCCAAGTTTCAGACCCAGCTCCGTCCCCCACAAAACCCAAGCTCTTTCCAGGATCTCACACCCGGCAAGGTGGGCGCCCGACAGTGCAGACCCTCCGGCCGGCTCTATCTCTGATGGCAGATGAGCCCCTCGGCATTTCTCAGCCCCCGCCAACCAAGCGACACAGAACTTTCCAGAGCCAGATGTGGCCCGGCATGAAGCACCTGGCTGTCTCGGCCGATTCAGGTATGTGGGAGGAGAGGACTCTCGGGCCACCAGGTCATCCACCCAGGCTTTTCAATGGGGCCTTGGGGCCCAGGACGAGACTCCCCTCGATGGAGGTAAATTGACATACAATAAACTCCACTAAGAAAGACTCCACTAAATTTTTATTGAAGTAAGATATACGATGGACTACATGAAAAGTGTGCAATTTAGTACGTTTTGACATATGTATACACACCTATGAAACTGTCACCCAAACCAAGAGAGTGAACCCCCTAACTTTCCCCGTGCCCTTTCTAATTCCTCCCTCCCACCCTCTCAGCTCTTCCTACCCTCCCCCTCCCCCCAGCGACAGCTGATCTACTTTCCGTGACTGTGGATTCGACTGCCTTTTCTAGAGTTTTATATGAATGGGATCATACAAGCTAGACTTCTTTGGCTTTTCTTTCTTTCTTTCTTCCGTGTTGTGCTACGTGTTGGTAGTGCGTTCCGTTTTATCGCTGGGGAGCACGCCGCTGCAGGGCACGGCACAGCGTGTGCAGCCCTTCCCCTGCTGGTGGACCTGTGCGTGGTTTTCAGTTTCGAGCCGTTACAAGCAAAGCCGCTATGAGCACTTGTGTACACGTCTTTGGGGGAACATGCACTTTCCTCTCTCTTGACTCCACTGATTTTCTCCAGTGTTAGACACCTGCCCCAGGAAGACATTTCCCAGCTGATCTAACCCTCTGATGAGCAGAGAAGAAGCAAGTCACTGTCCTGGTGACCCCTGTGCCCTGGAGCCACTGGGAGCCACTGGGGAAGACCTCTAACCCACTGGTCTTGGCTTTGGTCCTGGGAGGCCGAGGAGAGGAAGCCACGGAAGGGGAAGGGGTTTGAGGGAAACCCAGCCAGTGCGTCACCCCTTACATCTCCTCTTCAGCTGCCCTTGGACCTTCCAGCCCTGACCCTCCCTTCTGGCGCATGGCTGGCTCTCAGACTTCCGTGTGTCTCCACCCCGCCTGGACACCACGGGCAACCCACCACGCCCTGACTTCACACCACAACCCTCAACTTCCTCTCCCCTCGCCCTCCCACTACCTGCCCCTCGGCAGCCCCTGGCCCAGAACAACGCAGGCACAGTCTGTCTGTACTCCAGCGCTGGGCTGGTGTCACTGCGAATCCAGTCTCCCAGCTTAGCTGGGCCCTGAGCACCCCCTAGAACAAACTCTCGGGTCCCCAGCCAGCTGCCATCTGCAGGGTGTCTCAAGGCTTTCCCACCAACCTCAAGTCCAGAGCCTGCCCCTCCTACCCGTCCCCCCACCAAGGGATGATCTGATCTCTTAATGGAAGAAAAAATAGAAAACATTAGGCAGGAGCTCTCCCAATACACCCAAGCAGCCCACCCCCGGAGCGTACCACATTCTCGCCCGCCCTTTAATCCTTCTCCATGTTGGAGAAGGGGCAGCCTTCTCCCATGAAGCCTCGGCCCTCTGCCTGGGTGATGGTCCCCGTCCTCACCCATCTGTTCTCCTCCTCCTGAGCAGCCCAGATTCCAATCTTCCACTTCCCTCTCCCGCGGGACCCATCCCCCCACCCTCTACTCCTGCTCCTGTCTCGGTGGTCTGAGCACTCCCTGCCCATGCCGTCTCCCCCTGCAGCTTCCTCTCACTCACACTCCTCTTCCTCCCGACCAAACATCCCTCCTGGAAACTAGTCTCCCCAGCTGTCCCCACTCCCTGGCGCTCCACTCGCCAGTCTCCTACGGCCTGGTCTCTGCTCCCCGTCCTCCTCTGAAACCACTTTCCTAAATCCCGTGGACACGTCCAGCCTTCGGCCATTTGGCTTTTCCGCTGCATTCAACACTGCCGAATCCCTCCCCCCAGCACCCCTCTCCCTGGCCTTCCTTCTCCAGTGGCACTCCGCCCTGGTCCCGGCACCACCCCACCTCTGCGACATCTTGAACTCACTCTCCACCCCGGCCTCTCTTCCTCTGCCCCTTCCTTAATGCTGGTGCTGCCCGGGGACCCTCCTGTCCTCTCCCTCACACACTGCTGGGTGGTCCGCTCCGCATGGTGACCCCCACGCCTCTCCAGCCCGGGCCTGTCCCTTCAGCCCCTCCTGCTGTCTGCTAGACATCACCCCTGCAGGGCCCATGGGGACCTCAAACGCAGTGTTTCCCCACCAAACCTGAGCTCCCCCTAAAACCTGCTCCTCGTCCCAGACTCCTGGTCTCTGCCAAGCCCAAGCTAGACATTCTGAGACGTGTCTTTGCTTCTTTCCTTTCTCTCCCCTCCCCAACCTTCAGGCAGCAGATGAACACTCTTACTTTCTGTTCCTAAAGATGGCTCCCATCCCTCCCTCCTCTTCACCTCTGTTCTCACCGCTTAAATTCAGATCCCTTCTCAGCTGGCCCCCCAGACTTTCCAAATCGCTTCCCGACTGCTTTCCACACCTCAAGTTTCTCGCCGGGCCTGCCGCTCAAACTTAAGATCATCATTCAGGCAGCTGCCAGAGTGATGGTTCTAAGCGCTGATCCGGCGCGGTGGCTCACGCCTCTAATCCCAGCACTCTGGGAGGCCGAGGCGGGAGGATCGCTCGAGGTCAGGAGTTCAAAACCAGCCTCATCTCCACTGCGCCCCTGCGGGTGCCCCAGGAAACTTGTACCCTGGAGCCCACCCATGCCTCCCTTGCCACAGGCCTCTGCTTCCAAGGCCCCCTCCCCTCCTCCCTCTCCTCCAGAACCACCTCCTCCTTGGGGAGGCCCCTGCCTCCATGGAGAGGCCCCTGCCTCCGTGGAGAGCGTTAGTTCTTTCGTCCCCACATTCCTACATCATCGGGCAAATGCCTCAAGCTTGCATCACCTATTTCATCAATATTAATTTTTGTTTTCTCACTGCTACCTTAAAGGAAAAACCTGTAGCTCATTGTTTCTTATCTCCACTGCCTAGTGCTACAGCAAAGAGTAGACGCCCAATAAATATTTGTGGAGTGAGAGATGGAAAGAAGCTGGACAGCAAGGGAGAGATTGAGAAGAAAGAAAAGGAGAATTAACCAAGTGGCCAAAAACTTCATCAGAACGAAGAGCAGGGCTTAACAGAAATTCAGACTCTAAGGCCTTGCCCCAGATCTTCTGAGCAGGAATCTCCCAGGGTAGGGCTCAGGAATCAGCCGTCTTAATAAGTTCTTGGGTGATTCTTATGAACTTGAAAGTCTCACGTCACTGACTGAGGGGACTCCAGTTTTTATACTGGAGAAGTTCCATGATTTAAAACTCTGACCTGAGGTCAAGAACTTTAGTGGTGTTAATTTCTAAGATAATATAATTACAACATCAATTAAGATAATGGTGGTGATAATTACAGGCCGAAAGGCCTAAAGCAAATGTGGAAACTGAGACCCACCAAAGAGAAGCCGTTGCCTGCCTGAGCCCCTGCAGAGCCGGTTTGGGACGGGAAAGCAGTGCACTAGAGCCAGCAGGTGCCAGGCTGGGTCCAGCTCTGATTAACAAGTGGGTTTGTCTCAGACCAGCGCTTTCCTTCTCTCTGGACCTCGGTTCCCCAGCTGAAAAATGAAGGGGCTGCTTCTAAGCTTCCTTTCAGTCCTCATGTATCTTGAGGAAGGGAAAGCTTGTCAAGTGTGGGTGACAGTCCAGGACGCCGTGCTTCTAGACTTGCTATATTATTGGGAGATTTCTATCCTGGCAAAAGATGACTACAGTCGAAGCAGGCCAAAAGAGAGGCAGCAGGGCCACTCTGTTATAATGAGATTGTGCCCGAGCCATTTTGGTTTATGAAATTAATACAACAGCGCTAAGGTATCACTGAGAGCAGCGAAGGCTCTCTCTCTCACTCTGAGGAAGGCTACGCACACAGTGGGCAAGATCTTCTCCTCGCTCTTGACCACAGCCCCATAACGCAGCAAGAAGGGAGAGGAACTGCAGTCCGGGGACACTGAGTCTGGGCTCAGGGAACACCAGCAGCTGAGTGGCAGAGGCATGGTCCCCCCACATGTTGTCGCTTAGCCCAGGTCTCCCTGTAGGAAAGTCTCGGGGGTTGGGGGGGTGGGAGGAGAAAGCCCACCTCTGGCCTTTTCAGCGGGGAAGGAAGGAGCTGAAAGAAACTCCAGGCCAGGCACTGGTCTAGTCACCCTCCGGGGGGCCTGCCCTGGGCTGTGACCCGCGTGGGGAAGGCCAGCAGCTGCCCTGCCCTGCCCTGTCCTGTCCAGCCACTCCAGGGCCCGAGGCGCGCTCAGCCTTTCTGGACCTTGACCCATTGAGCAAAAGGCGGGAGACGCATTCAAACAGGCACCCTGATAAACTTCTTAGTCATGCCCGCCGTCATGCCTCGGTGTCCCCCGCCTTCTGCAGCGCGCCCCCAGCCCCGCCACCTTTCAAGTTGGGCAACTTTAAAGAAAAATGAGAAAGAATAAAGAAAAAGAGAGAGACCAACGTACTTGATGAAGAAGACTCTCCCGCCGCCGTCAACCCCGTAGGCCCACCGGCCCGGCAGGTCCAGCCAGTCGATCTCCTCGGCCATCGCGGCCCCGCGCGCCCTGCCCGGGGCGCCGGCCGGCCGGGCTCCCGCGCCGCAGCCCCACTCCCGGCCGCCTCCCGGAGGCTGCGGCGGGGGAGGGTCCCCGCGGTGACTTCGGCCTCTCCCTGGAGGCGAGCTGGCCGCACGCCGGGCGGCGGGGACAGGCGGGCGGGCACTTAACCCTGGCCCGGCCGGGAGCCCCGGCCCCAGGCGCCACCTGCCTCCTCCTCCTCCTCCTCCTCCACTCCCGGCTCCTCTTCGGACCGTCTCGCGAACTTTAATGACAGGCAATTAGCTCGGAGAGCAGTCGCGACGCCCCTCCCGCCGGGACTGCTAACGGGCAGCGCGGGTCCCGGCGCCCCCGGCTCTCCGGCGCCCGCCCGCCCTGCGCGGCCGAGCGAGCGGGGCTGCAGCCCGGACCCCCCCGGGCGCCGTGCGCGCTCCCCGCGCCCCGCTCCGACCCGTCCCCCGCACCCGAGCGCCGGCCGGGCGGGGCGGGGCCGGCGCCGCCTCGGAAGGTGATCCTCAGCCCGGGAGCCCGCCCGCGCCGCCGCGCCCGAGTCCGAGCGCGCCTTGCACCAGCAGCCCGAGCGACGCGCCCCGCCGGCCAGCGAGCAGCCTCGGGGAAGTGGCCAGACCTGTGCGCGCGGTGGGAGGTGAGCAGGGGAGCAAAGGTCAGAGGCTCGGAAGCGCGGCCCGGCCGAGAGCAGCCGCCAGGAGCCCTGCGAGTCCCTCCTAGCTAAGATGCCAGCCTAATTAGTCAAGCTAATCCCTTACCTTTTTGTCTCGGAGCACTTCCTCCAAGAAGCCTGCCATGACTAAGTAGAATCGCAGCGAGACCTTAGAAATACTCAGAGGCCAACAGCTTCTATCTCTCTGCTCCCTATTCCCCACCCCCCACCAACTTGCACCAGAAATGGAAAAGGACAAAAGTTGGGGGGGAGGGGGAGAGTGAGGGGGGAGAGAAGGGACTGTTTCTGCGTGCATTCTAATGCAGATTGCAAGCATTGCGTGCTGGAATATCAAAAACGGTACTGCTGGAGCCCACAGTTCTGCTGTCTCGGGCTCTTTACCAAAGTAGAGGTCTGGTCAGCTTTCCCTGCTTCCTCAGGACTCACGAACGGGGCTCCAATTGGGAGCACACTTTTTGGTTTTTTTTTTGTTTTTTTTTGAGACAGAGTCTCGCTTTGTTGCCCAGGCTAGAGTGAGGTGGTGTCAGCCTAGCTCACAGCAACCTCAAACTCCTGGACTCAAGCGATCCTCCTGCCTCAGCCTCCCGAGTAGCTGGGACTACAGGCATGCGCCACCATGCCCCGCTGATTCTTTCTATATATTTTTAGTTGGCCAATTAATGTCTATTTTTGGTAGAGACGGGGTCTGGCTCTTGCTCAGGCTGGTTTCGAACTCCTGACCTCGAGCGATCCACCCACCTCGGCCTCCCAGAGTGCTAGGATTGCAGGCGTGAGCCACCGCGCCCGGCCCGGGAGCACACTTTTCAATCCATGTGTGAGACCCAAGGGAATAATCAGACAATGGGAGGCATAGCTTCTTGTCTCTAAAGGAAGTGATGTGTCCCATGGCAGTTGGCAAGTATCAGTTGAGGGAACACACTGTCTGGGAGCATTCTAAGGGATTTGATCCCTATCCCACCTAGGTAATGGGTACGCATCCCTCCAGCGTCCACTCATGTGTCACCTCCTCCAGGAAGCCATCCCTGATACTACTCCAGACTTACATGTCCATATGTCCATCCTCTGTGTGTCATGACACTTTATGAATAGCCATGTAGTGACACTTATCACACTGTAATCCGATGCTTGATTTATCCATCTGTCTCCTTCTGTGGACCATGTGCTCCTTGGGGCAGGCACTCCATCTTGTTCATATTTACAGCCTCGGCACCTGCCTGGAGCTCCCAATCGATGTTTAATAAATGCCTGATATAGTCATTACTGGGAACTGCTCTTAACTCTAACCACACTCCTGCACTTTTGGACCTTATTTAGAGGCATGCTGAATAGAGCCATCTGTAACATGGGGTAGGGTGGGGAGGGCACAGATCTTTCTGGAAAAGAAACAGCCAGTGAAACTTCCCTACCTGGAGGGTGTAAGGCGTACACATCTAATAGACGGTGAAGCTAGAAGGTGCCTCAGAGAACGCCTAGTCCAATACTCTTGGTTTAAATAAGGGAAACGGAGGAGCCGAGAAGGAAAGGGGCTGGTCAAGGTCACCGAGCAAGGCGGTGGCTGAACAGGACCTGCCCACCAATGGCCCGGGCCAGAGCTCTTGCCATGACATCATTCTGCCTCCAACGCTGGAAACTAAGTCTGCCAACACACACAGGTTGGTCCTGGCCGCCAGGCCTAAGCTGAGTCCATTCTCCAGAAGCGGAAGAGAAGCAGAAACCCACCACACCCTACTCTTTGCTCCCTTCTCAGTCCCTACAGATTTCCAGTAGAGAAAACCGCATTTGACAGGGAAGCAGAGCCGCGCCAGGGAAGCACGGAAGGGGATCTCGGTGCCCCTTCGTTCCTGAGCTGGGGAAGGTTGGCCGATCAAAGGAGCAGACTCCCTGCCAGGCTCCAGTCCCCAGTGCCCAGTCCCCAGCCATGTGAAACACCTGTAGGACTCATCCTGCTGATAAAGCACACAGCCACCTGCCCAGCCCCTGTGATATCCAAGGATCTAAACTGCCAGAACTGCTGCCAAGATGCCTTCGGGGAAAATACCAGCAAGCAGAGCACTCCCCGTCCAACCTGAGCAACCAGTAAGGGCGGCTGCTCAGCCTGAATGTGGGTGGAATCAGGGGACAAAATGACATGTATTTGCAAACCTGTATAACACGGCCCGCTGCCTTCTTGGAGCCCCTGTTGATCTCTTCACACGACTTCTGTCTTAATTTCCAATCTGGCGCGGCGTTCCTAGGAACACTGGCCTACACAAGAAAAGGCCAGAGATTTGAAATGTTTATGACTCATTTGAAATAAGAAGTCAGGTTGGAAAATATTTTTCTAACTGTGGTGTATTCTCACAAGTGACTTTTTACATGCTAGTTCTTGTTTATCAATTATGATCAGTATTGATATTGCTAGAATGACCTTTTAGCAAAAAAACTAAAGATATGCAGTAAAAGAGCAGAAAACCCAAATAAAAACAGCTATTGGTTCAACAATTACCTGGAAGAGGGGATGAGGGTTGATATATTAAAATGAAAACCATACATGCTAGGCAATCAAGTCAGAAATTTAACTGTTTGTGTTTCCTCCCACTGCAAATGTCTTTTTATCTCCTTAAAACGCAACAAAGCATGTGGACAGAATGTATCAATAATATTTAGAAATTATTCTGATTGGCTTGTGCATTTTGAGATCTTAATCACTTCAATTTTGTTATGTTTCTGGTTTGGTACCTGGGATAGGCTGAAAAATACCCGCCCCAAAGTTATTCATGTCAAAATCCCTAGAACCTATGAATGTCACCTTATTTGGAAAAAGGTCTCTACAGATGTAATTAAGGATCTTGAGATGAGAAAAGTATACCGGATTACTGGGGTAGGCCCTAAATCAAATGACAAGTGTTCTTGTAAGAGACACACAGGGGAGATTTAACAGACATAAGAGGAGGAAATAATGTGACCATGGAGACAGAGATTGGGATGATATGGCCACAGGTCAGGGAATGCTGGCAACCACCGAAAGCTGGAAGAGGCAAAGAATGTATTTTCCTGGCCAGGCAAGGTGGCTCACGCCTGTAATCCCAGCGCTTTGGGAAGCTCAGGCAGGAGGATCGCTTGAGACCAGCTTGGGCAAAAGAAAGAGACTCCAGCTCTACAAAAAAATAAAAAGTTAACCAGGTGTGGTGGCGAATGCTTGTAGTCCCAGCTACTCGGGAGGCTGAGGCAGGAGGATCACTTGAGCCCAGGAGTTTGAGGTTGCTGTGAGCTAGGCTGACGCCACAACACTCTAGCCCGGGCAACAGAGTGAGACTCTGTCTCAAAGAGAAAAAAAAAGAGAGAGACTGGGTCCTCCTTATACCCCATAAGCCCTGGGACCCAGCTTGCCAGAAGAGTCTCTTCCCCTGGAATTTCCAGTCACAGGTGCCAATAAACACCCTTATTTCCTTTAGCCAGTTTGAGTTAGGTTTCTGCCCCTAACAACTGAAAAGGTCCTGACAACTTAAAAAGTACCGACCAATACAAAGGTCACCAAAAAAAAAATAAAAAGTTGCTTTCATATACTAGGAAAGCCAATGAGATAATAACTCAGGAATGGGAACTCTTTGCTTTCAAGAAAACCACAATTATAGATTAAGAAAAGGTCTCAGGGCCGGGCGCAGTGGCTCACGCCTGTAATCCTAGCACTCTGGGAGGCGGAGGCAGGCGGATTGCTAGAGGTCAGGAGTTCGAAACCAGCCTGAGCAAGAGAGCGAGACCCCGTCTCTACTATAAATAAAAAGAAATTAATTGGTCAACTAATATATATAGAAAAAATTAGCCGGGCATGGTGGCACATGCCTGTAGTCCCAGCTACTTGGGAGGCTGAGGCAGGAGGATTGCTTGAGCCCAGGAGTTTGAGGTTGCTGTGAGCTAGGCTGACGCCACGGCACTCACTCTAGCCTGGGCAACAAAGCGAGACTCTGCCCCCCCCCCCAAAAAAAAGATATGTGCCGTGTGCATAGGAATTTCTTCAGTTTTTTTTTTTTAAACTATAGTCCAGCCCTCCAACGGTCTGAGGGACAGTGAACTGGCCCCCTGTTTAAAAAGTCTGAGGACCCCTGGTGGGTGTAGAAGTGACATGCTCTGCTTGCCTTTGTGTTTTTTAGAGGATCACTCTGGCTGCTGTTTGGGACAAGGTAGAAGCAGATTCCCCCTGGGAGGCTATTTCAATAATCCCAACAAGACATCATGGGAACCTGGTTCAGCGTGTTGGAGGTAGACGCAGTGAGCAATGGGTAGACTCTGGGTACCTTCTGAAGGTAGAACTGATAAGATTTGCTGATCTGCTCTCATCAGGGTGT